AAGAGGAGAGACGGCAACCACCAAGACCTCTGGAGTCAGTGGTCGTCACACAGGCGCTGACCAGTGAGTTAGATACATCAAGTAAAGAAGCCACCACTGCTACAGCCCCCACCCAAGTTAAGAACAAAACACAAAAAAACGGAACAATGCCAGTCCTATGAGGACTGGCGAGGCTAAATTCAACCACGTAAGCGCTCATCCCGCGAAAATACACATCCAGACCTCCCCTCTCATCAGGTACACTCTAATATGTATGTACAGCAACGTTAGGGGGCTAATAGGGAAGGTAGCAAAAATGAGGACGCTGCGTGAACATCAGCTCTACGACATCATATTCATCACCGAATCCTGGCTCTCATCGGACATCTCCGACGAAGAGATGCGTGTTGCTGGCATGGAACTCTTCCGCAGGGACAGGGAACATAGAGCAGGAGGGGGAGTGGCTATCTACGCAAACTCCTGTTTAAAGGCAAGGATGGTTAGCGATACGGCCTTAACCCAGCTCCCAGAGTCTCTATGGTGCTACTTCACTCTCTTCTTTATTCTCTCTTCATTCCTTTACCACTACCTTACTATTCTCTTCCAGGTACCTACACAGACAGGAGTCATGGCAGTTCTCTAAACTTCCCAGCAACCCGTAGCTCCCTAATCACTCTACAAATTACAACCTACTAACCCACAAAACATCCACCTCACCGAAGCTAAAAGCAAGAAAGCAGAGGGGATTTCCTCGTCCACTGCAGGAGTAAACCGAACAACTGGAACCAAGCCCTAAGAACTAGACGCGAGAGATCAAAAACTACTAGTTTTCTACGCTCGCACTATCAATATTGGGTATTGGATGTTTTCTCTTTGTTACGCTAAAGTCGAATGTTGCGCGGCTTTTATGGTACTTATGGATAGTAGCAACACCGAAAATGATGTAGATTAATGAACGTTATCTTCGAACAAATGAAGTTTGCATGAACTTTAAGCTACCACATTTTAACCTGGAATCCACTGTGTGAAATTCCTCCCTTCTGTGTTGTTAGATTATTTTGTCTGACCATATAATGTACTCTCGCTCAATTTTAAAAGTGTTGCAACCTATCGCGAGTGCTGGCAACCGCATGTTGTCATGTAAACTTAGTGTTGCATAGCTGACATTGCTGGTCGATGTTTCATTCAAATTGTCCATGAGACGAGATTGTTTTGGGGTGATTTCACTTAATGTCTTTGTTTGGTGTGGTTTTCTTGACTTAGTTACTAGATTTGCTATGCAGCATATCGGATTGTCTGACTGCATTACGTTGTGCATGTCAATACCAGCCTGCTGTCTATAAGCTGACTTGTTGTAGTTGTTTCTGGCATCGTCACTCTGTTTAGATAAGTTAAGTATTCATAATGTGGATTTATAATGAGTATACTCATTATAAATGCACCTTATAAGGTGCATTCTCAGATTCACATTTGTCATTTGGGGATAGGAGGCTGGAAGCCTATATTAATCCTTTCGGAGTAGATTTCTGTGCTTTTCCAATCCCCCTCTGAAGGAGTGAATTGATGATGTGGACACAACTTCTTCTGCAAGTCGGTTCCAGGCGTTGATTACTCGACGCGAGAACCAGTACTCTGAGGAGACTATGTTCATTCTTTGCTTTTTCAGTCTCCTACTGTTTCCTGTGAGGTGTTCCGACCTGGTGGGAAGGAAAAGAGAAGATAGGTCAGGTCCAAAGTCATTTCTTAGAATCCTGCGTAGCATGATCAGGTCTTTTCTCTGTCTGCGGTAGGACAAAGTGAAGAGGTTCAGCTCCTTGAGTCGGTCTTCACAGATGAGGCCGGTCATAGCAGTAATCATATGAGTGGCTGCCCTCTGAACTCTTTCTAGAAGTTTTAATAAATGTGTTTAGGATTTCTTTGTGAAAGAAGCTGATGTCTCTTCTTCCTGTCCTTTATTCTGTCGCCGGTGTGTTGAAGTCTACGGTGAAGAGTAAATTGAAAAAGGTTGCTGAAGTAGCCCACATAATACCGGTGTTCAGCAGTACTTCATACACTAAAGTATTAAATAGAGGCTCGTGAATAATCTACAGAAATCAATTTGTGTGACTGGTAATAAACTGTCTTTACAAGTCACCTGGCAATCGGATGAATGAATCATCATAAGCACCCGCGAGTTTCACGTGATAACCTCTGAAAACAACGGTCCTTTCATCTTGAGTTCTCTCTTTGACATATGATAAAATTAGGAACACAAGTCTTCTTGCTCAAGGCTTTTAGTGAAAACCATATTTCCTCTGTGGATGAGGAATTCATATGTAAACTGAAGCATATAGGTATAAGTTTGGCTATTCTGCCTCAAGACCCTTCCCGTATTGTACATACCTGTTACCTTGTTCTGTACAGGGTTGAGAACATGTATTATGTGGTGAGTTGCTGGCCTGTTCTCGTGAATCATTTCGGCTACCGGTACCTACTAGACTAACGGGGATCTATCACTTCATTCTTTCTGAAGTGATAAAATGGCGGTTATCTAAGCATCCACATAACTAATCTCACTCGCTACATTCACTGTGACTAGGCTGGTGTGCGAGACTACCTCTTACAGCCCGCCGAATAGAGTTTTGCCCATTCCTGCAGCTTCCTGCCACATCTCCTAAGTCCTTAACATGATACTTCACCAGTAATGCTACCGCAAGTATTACATGCGAGTCATTCCCAACTCCCATCAGTCTGAGTGTACAAATGGCTTGCGATTTTAAACGACCACTAATGCTACTAATAAGTTATTTTCTCCATTGGGTACGTGCCGTTTTTACAGGCTTGAATTAGTGGGGGAGGAAGGGAAGATTTCTACCCCTTCCTTAGATGTACCTGGTAGCCAGCCTACAATACTCCAGAAATTAGTTATAAGTGGGACTCATAAAATGCATACATGTCACTATTGGTTACAATATTACTACAGTAATCGCACTATAAGTAGCAAGCTTGCTTTTGTTGGGCGAAAAAATGATTGCGCATGGGAACAGAATGACAAAGTCAAAGAGATTCGTGAAACCTCACAGCATAACGTTTCATGATACTTCCATCAGATCTAGTAGTACTGCATCAAAAGCTGATGACAGCTTTGCAGACACTCAAGTTGTGACTATGATTATTGAGGCATATATCTTAGAAGTTATAAAAAGTTATTGACATCGTAAACTGGACCACAACTGGAAAAGACGTTCTTAAGGTCAGTATCTACGAGGAGTGAAACGCCAGTAATGTGGTACAAAACGCAATGTGGAGTTAAGGATTACAAGTACTGTTATAATAACATGAGAAATGTAGTTACCGCAAATATAAAATCAGGGTTAACACTTGCATCCTGGAGTACAGGTTAGTTATCTGTGTCTAGATTGGCTTAGGAAAGCATGGTTATTTATCAGATGAAATTACTTTTGAAGAAATAATCACCATCCAGTTAGGATTAGATTCGAAATTTATGTAGAACTGTTAGATATTATTTTGTAACGGCGAAGTTGTATAATATATTAGGAAGTGTGTACGAAAAACTGTCGAGTATAACCAAACAGTATATAGGTTTGTTGAATTATCTCAATCTTTGTAGGAATACACTGCTAGCCCTTATTTACATTGTTTGCACATACAAAATACATGGATTCCATCGAGAATTTTCCAAGTTAGTGAAATCACACTGGCAACTTGGAGCAAATGAACCCTAATTTCGCGTTCAGGTCACGCCACATTTAGGTTCATTGCTGTTAGAAAGGGAAATTGTCGGTCTTCCACGTATTTGACTGATACGACGCCGATGTTAAGACTAAAAGTATATTTCGACTTACCTTTGTGATGTCGCCATAAGTGACATTTAATACATAGGATGAAGTGATTTTTTCAGACCAGCATTACCAACTGATTTCAAATCATCATAGATTTTTGACTGGCTTAAATGTGAGTGGGTTCGAAATAATGACTTACTTCATACTAAATAAACACACTGTATATTCGAAACTTATACGATGGAACTACTCAACTAAAACCATGTAATGAACAGTTCCTGAGTATGTTAATCGATGTTTAGAATTGCCTAATCTCCCAGTAAAATGCAGTACAGTTAGTAGATGACAAAAAGAATATGAAGTCCACAAAGCCATTAGTATTACGAGATAGTTATTTCGCGCCATTTTCTCTAATCGTTCTATATTCTGAGAAAGTTTTTGATAGTTGATATTCAGTTGAATTTTTTAGCCGAACAGCTTTCGAAGTAAACAGTCACATACTTAATCTTGCATACCATAACTGGATTTTGCTTCATTAAACAGCAGCTGACAATAAATACAGAGTCATTGCTTAGAGAAGATAAGGCATGAATACCTTTCTAGTAAGTAATCCTAGGCATTTATTCTAAAAAGTATATTACTGTATAGTGCCCATTAGTGACATGCTTCTAGATAGATATCATGAAGTTCTAATGAGAAGCCGTGACCCGTGTGGTCAACCAGTTGGAAGGGAAGTGGATACCAACTGTAGCCGCGCAATGCCGTGAACTGATAGAAGTTGGAACCTATGAACTACTGAAAACTGATCCAGTGGTTCGATGGTTAACGAGTCCACCGTGAAACCCGAAGGTCCTGGGTCCGACCCCCACCCGGGTCGTGGGTGCATAATTGCTGAGGAGTCCTATACCAGGACGAAACAGCTGTCAAGTGCTCCTAAGTTCTCGATAGTTCCCCAACTGATATCAGTCCGTGATGAATAATACCTCTAAATTAAACCATTTGGACTCACCTGGAAATAGCTTTAGTCGGCCAATTTGATACGCCGACTAAAACCATCTCTAGGTGAGTCTAAATGGTTTAATTTAATGTCTAAAACTAGTAATCCTAGCAAAATTTATGTCACTACTAGGGTTTATAAACCAGGTCATTCCATCAGACCCATAGTTGCATTTTCCAGAATATCTTACACTGAACACCAAGGTATATAGAATTTTGTAAGTAGGAAAATATCTCACGAAACAACTGAGCAAACGAAGTATAACTGGTGAACATTTGTAAAGTAACCAAGCTAACTAGCGTAAAAACCGTTTCATCCTAACTGGATGCATCGGCAAACTTGCTTGCAGTGAGGGTGAATGATCAGCTTGGAAGTTTTACAGTGAGAGTCAAATTTCCCCGTGGCTGGGTGTGGTATCAACGATTTTTAATAAGACTAGATATGATCTTGTATTATCCCAGAAATGTGAGTAGCGAGTACTGAAATAAACCAATTAAAAAAAATACACAATGGCATACCATTCAAGTCAACCGACAAAACGACGGTGTAGCCGAAGTACATCACTGTTTCTGATCACAAAATTATTTAGTTCAGTTGATGGTTTGTGAGGATTGACTGATTTTAAGGTAGTTTTCATCACAATTTGACAGGTGTCCCGACCTATTACGGGAGTTCTTAGCAGTGGGCACCCGTGAATGTAGACAATCTAGATACGGGTTCGTACACTACACTAATAGTCATATATGACTGTTGACTGTAGCAACGCATACATATGCACAGACCATAAGGTTGCATGTCTCATAGCACAATAATCTAAACTTTACTAGTCATTCGTCTATGCGCTTTCTGTTATTTCCACCTGCCAGTAGCAAGTAGTAGTAGTTCATTTAAGAACTTGAGTAGAAGAGTCGAAAGACAATTGATCAATATTTGTATATTTTTCGTCTATAAAACGATTTTAATATTCTGATGATAAAATGTTCACCGCATGAACTGACTCTCATGTTCTGCAAGTATTTTAGCGGATTGTTTTGCATTGAGAAACAGAGATCTCACTTCTTCAATATCTGAAGGTTCAACTTCATCTCGACCACCTAACTGAGCAAGACGACACGCTGGAGTCAAAAGCTGAACTGCATACCTGAACAAAAAATACGATCGAAAAACAGTTTAAGAACAAATAAATCTGGCATACCAAGCAATTAGTATTTTAATTCAAACTTTAAAATTCACCTATCAATGCTAAATAGTAACAAAATGGCGATTCTAAGCATCAGTTTCAAACTGTTTTATAACGAACTAGAAAGAAATAATGATGCATAATGGCGATTATCACTGAAACAGGAGCTATGATTCACTGGTCTGTAAACTTGATCTGCAGTGACAGATTTCAACCCTATTTCATCAGTCGAAGTTTACGTTCACCGATTGAAAGTCCTACATTCAATGATAATTTTCACATGTAAATGCACTAAATAGATGATAGAGTAATCCAAACTAATGTCAGTACGCATAAGGGAGACCCATTTGGCATCTGGCAACTTGAGTCATTGTCAGTGCAAGTGAGATACTAAACTAATTATTAAGAGCATACTGCGCTGCAGTCCGTTCTATCCTGCTACGCTGCTACGACCAATGGTCACTGAAAGTGGATATCAAGGAGTTACAGGTTTTTTAACACAGGGGTTTTTGTAGCACTGTTTGTGTATGATGGAATCACACCGTGAGCAATGTTGAGATTAAATAAAGAAGATTAGGCAAGGAAGTCAAGTTGGTTGATGAGGTTGTGCATTTTCACCAAAATAGTCTGGACGTGAGCCGGGTATACCGAGCCACGAAACGAACGAAATGCACTCAGCTACCTTGTGCACATCCATGCAGTAAGCAATGAGCCACATCTACTGTGTGAAGGCAAGTGATACTATCTGGCTGCCCAAACCTCGGTAGGTGGAGCGTGGCTGCAACTCAAGACACAACGTTGGTCATCTCCTTAAACCATTGAGCCAAAGCTCCACTTTGCCGAGCCACCACCTATCTCGACGTGCAATGTGGTTGGGTTGGAAGAATGATGAGTGGTCAGACAAAGACGTAGCACCAGTATATGAATTATTTAACTACTGCTCTCGGCTATGTAAAGGAAGTGTAGACTACCTGACTGGGGTCCTCGGGACGATAAGAATCAATGATTGGAGACTATCGGTGACGGGGGTGAAAACGCGTCACAATGATCAGAAAGTCTTTACTCTTCGACTTCTTGAACATTTTCAGTGACTACGATTTTCAAATTCCTTCTTCTACCATACACCCTTACCTACTTTGATATCGCTAATTTTTCTACCTACTTGTTTTTTGCATACCACCGTGAAGTGTGGCAACTTGAACCAATGCACTTCTGTGTAATGTGCCAAGGTGGTCTTGTTTGTCTAAACTAGTCTATGCGGTCTTATGATACTATCCGGTAGCCTTGGTGGGAGTGGGACTCGAACCCAAGGCCCACTGCTTGTAATTCGAGTTTTGAAGAAAGTGACTCATCACCCTGAATAATCCCTAAACTACACAGAATGTCATCCCGGTGAACAGAATTTACTGCAAGTAATCTCAGAAACAGGAAGATGACTAATGGTCTAATTTTTGAAAGTCCTCAAACCCTGAGTGAAGAATTTACAAAACCATTGAGTTTTATACTGCTGTGGGTGCTAAATCCTCAAAATGAGCGTTTTACGCTTAAATTCTATAAATTTATCCTACAGAAAACTTGAATTACCTTTTTCACTTTTTTTCGCCTCACATGTATCGCTCAATTTGACCGCTTTTAAGAACGCTGTTCTTTTATTGATTAATCTACTTTTTAATATCCTACTTCATCTGTACACCCTGCTGGCCCATACATTACACATAAACACAAGAGTTGTGTCACTGGATCCCCTTCAATTCAATATTGTCTTCTTCCTATGTCAGGTGAGCGAGTTGTCAAATATCATATTGTTCACCCAATGACTAGAATACGTGTCTCCAATTAACCGTGTACAAGAATCTCAACATATATTCTAATGTTTAGTTATGGATTATAACAAAATGTATATTTGCTGACAATCGACAGACTGATACCGAGTGATGAAATCAGTGCAGAACCTCACATACAGATGCAATACTTCAAGTTTCCACATTCCATAGTAGCATACAAAGAACAGGTAGGTCAAAAAAGAGTAATATCAAAGAAGACAAAGTAGTGTGAGGGAACAAGCAAGCTGAAGATAAAGGCTAATGCTTATGTTCAAGCTTTAGAAGATGTCAAGGAGTGAATGCATCTGAACTATTGTGAGCGATAGCTTTAACTTTGACATGGTGGTCAGACTTGCATATCACAACGACCCAACGAGCTATGCCGGTGGAGCGCTTGTTCCCTCGAGGTCCCACCCTATGAGGAAAGTCTATTGGATGGAGGTTAGACGAAAAGCAGTCACCGTTGTAATGTAAATTACTACTACAATATGATGGGAGACTGAGGACGAAGTCACATTGCTGCTGACTGGATGGGGTTTGACAGCAGTAAGGTGCTTCCTTCAGGTACCTAAAGAAGAAATACCCTTCTACGGTATCGGCAGCCGCAAAGTTTGAACCCCACACATCCTTCCAGTAGTACACGAGACCCAATCAAATATAACTTATCCTCTTCAGCTGTCTCTTTTGCCTTCTCCTGATACTAATATTAAGCCTTTACGCTCTACCAAATCTCACTCTACAACCATTGCCGACGAATGAAGCCATCGAAACTTGGTTCCTAGTCCCCTAAGACCCCTAATCGACAGACAAAACAAAACTCCGCGGGTTTTGCAACAGCACAAAAAAGGGGAATTGGGAAAAACGATACATAGTTTTCGAGAAAAATATGAGAGAGACGGCACAAACAAACGATGGAAATGTTCAATCGTTGAGAAATATATTTCTGAACAACATGAGTAGATAGAAGCCCCTTATTTCTTTCAGTATATGTATCTCAGTCACAGAAACTATAACTTTCTAAAATTTAAAGATAAGTTTCTGAGGCCAGTTCACTGCACTACTTTCCTGATTGGCTTTCTAACGACTCTCTAGTGTCGTCAGAGGTGGTAAGGAATTCGATAGAACCAATAAGACTAGTAACCAGGATGAGCAGATGGATACTATTTACGCTGCCACTTAGTTTGTATATAATTTTAATCTGTTCAGCTAAGTTGGGTAAGAATATAAACTACGTACGTCAAAAAGATGAATTCAAGTTACTTGAGTTCAAAGTTGTCCATATGCTGGTGATGGAGTCGGCATCGAACAACCAAAGAGGTTGATGATTATCATAACATTCTGGGATGCCTAAAGAAAAACTGGCGTTCATCCGTATTAGTGACGTTCAAATACCGATTTGTGCATAAGTGTATCTTCTTAAATCTAACATTAATTATTTTCTGAAATCAATCCCCTCAAACTGACAGATTCGAAGCAACTTTTTATACAATAAATTAATGCTGAGAAATAAAGTAATTCAAACCGGTAAACGTGTTTATAGACCAGACGTTAAACTACGGTTATTACGTGAAGGCTTACGATCCTAATCAATTGTCTACGCTGAAGTAATCAGTGTACGATTTGAGCTCACGACCTACTGCTTTAAAGTTGAGTGCATAAGCCAATGACTCAGATCTCTCTTATTAAACGTAAAATGCTACAAAAGCGATTAACTGACCAATCACGAGACGTGATTTGATAATTTTGATTACATAAATATGATCCTTCTTCTGTATAGTTTCCATTTCGATCCAATAATTCATACATAAAAAACCAAAGAGAAATGCAACTTCTAATCAAAAGATGAACGTAGAGTGTGACAGTCCTCGCTGTACTGTTTTAAGACTGTGCTATGACATGTGACTGGAATTGATAAACATGCAGGCGCAGATTTTCGGAACATTGCATATATGTATTGAGGCCGAATAGTGAATGGCGCTGCATCATCATCATCATCATTATCAACATAGGACCAGGCATTACTGCGTAACGGTCCGAGTTGCCACACCTCATATCAGCACATCAAGTAAAAAGGTAGTGAGGTGAAGGATGAAGATAAGTGAATGCAGTCAAAAGAAATATAAAGTACGAGAAGAAAGGAAAGAGGAGTGACAAAATAGTGAGATTCGGTATAGCGTTGTTAAGATGAGGATAATGTGTGTATACATCTGCGCCACTGACTTCGGTTCTGAGCCATATCACCTAGGGTCTCCAACCACTGGTTCCTCTTGTCCCGTGGACCCCAACCACCTAGTCTGCATCGTCCTACATGGCTTAAACCAACAGTCAGAGACTTCATACATTGGTGCCATGTTTTAGTCTGGCCACCTCGGGCCTTTTTCCAGCCTGAACCCACCTCAGCCAACATTGTGTGACGAGGCAATCGGTGACTAGGCATACGTAGTACGTGTCCCAACCATCTCAGTCGATGAAGGTTCACAACCTCGTCGACTGACTTACCTCTTCTCCCTAAAACTCTACACCTAACTTCTGCATTACTCACATGGTGACACCACGGAATACGTCCTATACTACGAAGGCAACGGTGGTCAAACACCTGAAACCTTCTCATGTCTTCCACTTTCAATGGCCATGTTTCACAGCCATACAGTAGAACAGAGCGGACTGCTGTGCAGTACACGCGACCCTTAATAGACAAACGAATATCACGGCGGCGCCATAGGTGGCGCAAATTGGCAAAAGCCAATCGAGCCTTTTGTATCCGTGCAGAAATCTCATCGGCAACTAACCCACCAGGGTTGATCCTACTTCCCAGGTAAGTGAAGTGGTCAACACACTCAACCACTTCACTCTCTATTGTTAACCGCGGTACCGCTGAAGACCAGTCCTGGAGCAAAAATTTGCATTTGGGTGGTGAAAATCGCATCCCAAACATTCTCAAATTCCCACTCAAAGTGTTCAGAAGACTCTGCATCTTGTCAGCGTCTTCACCTAACAGGACTATGTCATCTGCATATTCTAGATCTAAGGAAAATTCACCTGTGATCCGGTCAACGTCTTTGTAATTAGGTGACGAGAGGGAAACCTCCATAAGAATATCTATGATAAAATTAAATAAGAATGGGGATAGTGGGCATCCTTGACGGACACCACTTGATGAGTATAGCTCCCTGGACAACTCACCATAGGCTCTAACATGCCCACAAGTGTTCGAGTAGAGAGCTTTCAATAAGGTGATGTACTTACTAGGCACGCCTTTCAGTGACAGACACTGCCATAAGACTTCTCGATCAACGGAGTCAAATGCCGCCTTCAGGTCGAGAAATACAGCTATTGTCGGGCGTCTGTAAGCATGCCTATGTTCCAGGACCTGGCGCAGTGTGAATATTTGGTCGATACATCCACGGCCAGGTCTAAAGCCTGCCTGGTTTTCTCGGGCTTGCTGTTCCCGAGCTCCACTCAGGCGTCGGAGAATTATAGAACTTAGGATCTTAGACACTATGTTTGTCAGGCTGATTCCTCTGTGGTTATCACAAGAGGACTTCTCGCCTTTCTTGAAGACTGGGATGATGAGTGACTTAGACCAGTCGGAGGGGATCGTATTTGATTCCCATATACTGGCTAACACTTCCGTTAGCCTGACTAAGAGAACTCTACCACCATTCTTGTATACCTCAGCAGGTAGTCCGTCTGGTCCTGCTGCCCTTCCCCGTTTCAGGCTACCTACCGCTTTCTCAACTTCTTCTAGTGTTGGGGGACCTGTCTCTATGTCCCATTCAGGGTCCGACTGGATAGCGGGCAGCGCAATGGTGGCTGGAGGCCAGTTAAACTGTTCCTCAAAGTGTTCTGCCCATCGTCCCAGTCGCCTTCCCTGCGAGTGAATCGCCGATCCGTCCTTCTCCGCTATAACCTCACTAACTGTTGTTGACCATTTCCCCCCAGTCTCCTTAATAAGTCTAAATAACTGTCTACTGTTACCGATCGCCGCTGCCTTTTCCATCTCTTTAGCCTTTGCTGCCCACCACTGTTCACGATCGTTGCGCAGACTTTTCGTCAGTTTATTTTTAAGTTGCGCTCGCTCTTCATTGTACTCAGAGCCTGCAGGGATGCATTCACGTGCATCCATTAGTTTGGAAGAAGCTGCTGATATCCACTGGCTCTTTTTAGCCATTATCTTGGAGTCGGCTACAGTCTCCAGTGCTGCTTTTACAGTAGACTGAAGATGGCACCAAGCTTCTTCTGGATGAGTGACAGTCTTTTGTTCCGATAACTGCCTAGCCAACTTCTCACTGAACACGGCTTTGGTGTTTTCGTTGTCCAGCAGAACTCGTAGTGGTTTTGTTGCCAAATTTTTTCTACGTCCATTGAGACGCAGGCATATACGTGCTCGGACCAACGCATGATCGCTGTCCAAACACGTACTCCAGAAGGAGCGGCAGTCTTCCACCGATCCTCTCCAGCGATGACTAATAGCAATGTGGTCTATCTGTGTCCATCGCTGAGTCGAGCTCGGTGGACGCCAGGTCAGACAGTGCCTTTCTTTATGTCTGAAATTTGTGCTGGCTAAAAATAGGCGGTTATCTGAGCATAGTTGTAATAGGCGATCACCGTTATCTGTACGTTCAGCTGGGATTCCGAAAGTGCCACCTAAGTGCCTTTCTGCCTCACTCAGTCTACCCACCTGTGCGTTGAGGTCACCTGCAACAACCACTACGTCCGAACGTTTGGCTTTCGAGAGGAGGTTAGACAGTTTATGGTAGAACTCGTCCTTCACTTCATCCGAACTACAGTCAGTGGGTGCGTAAGCAGAGATTACAAAGAGACAACGGCGAGTCTCACTATTCCTTTTAGTTCTCACTGTGCCGTTCAGCCTCATAGCGCAGAGGCGACTATCAACTGGGATCCAGTCTAGTAGTGAGTTTTCTGCCCTGGTGCTTAATGCTATACCTACACCTGCAAGACCACGAGAGCTAGCTATCGAATCTCCAGAAACTCGAAGGGTGAATTTTGCAGATTCACCAGATTGGTCAGGAGAGGTCAGGTGAATAACCACACTTGGGTCCTGTATGCGTGTCTCACAAACACAGCACACATCCATGCCCGAGTTGCTAGAGTCTTTGCCAACGAAGCCTGTTGGCCAATTTGACGGAGGGTGCGGACATTGAAGGCTCCAATATGTAATTTGGAGCGTGGTTTAAGGAGACCAGGGATGCTGTTCTGTGGACTCAGATCGTTGTCGAAGGCTGCAGAGGTAGGAGAAATTGAAGATGATGCAGCATCATTAAGAGATGAAGGAAGATTAGAAGGTAATGATGGAGGAGGAGGATAGCAGTCAGAAGAAACTTGGGTGCTGACAGAGTTGTGAGGGCGGTTGACACTTCCCGGCTGCCCACACCGTGGAAGGCTATTTCTTCTTAAGGTACCTGAAAGAGATTTGTGTGACCGCAGAGCCCATCGGACATCTGCTTGAGGCCTGTCACACCCAGCCTTTTGAGTATGATTATTTTGAATTTTTGTATTTTTGGGGCCGGATGGTCGAAAGGAAACGACAAGTGAACCAACACCGCCGGCCCGGCAGACCGTGGGGCGTGGTGGAGTGTGTTATTTTTGGGGCCGACCTTTTCTAACCCCCCCTTCCACTGAGAAGGCAGCATCAGCTTGGCACTGCTGGTCATCCAAGGGAAACACCTTACTGCTGTCACACCCCATCCAGCTAGCAGCAGTACGACTTCGCCCTCAGACCCCCATCATAGTGTAGCAATTTACACTATGACGGTAACTGCTTTTCGTCTAACCACTACCCAACAGACCTTTCTGGTATGGTAGGACCTCGAGGGAACAAGCGTTCCACCAGCATAGCTCGTTGGGTCATTGTGATATGCAAGCCCGACCACCACGTCAAGGTAGCAGCTATCGGTCGGCGCTGCAGTTATGCATAGTTTTAGGCACGAAAGGTAAGTCAGCTAATGAGGTTGTTAATCTCCACTGAATGAAGTAATTTGAGCACGCGTTCCGCACCAACTTACTGCTGAACTTGGCAAACAATGTTAACTAAGAATGATATGGTTGGTGAAATTAGCCGTGCAATCTACTTAGGTGGATTCCTCGACAAGTAAGAAGTTCATGACTGGAGGACCAAGTGTTGATGCGATTCCAAAAAGGTCACAGTGTTAACCCTTTGTAATCTTCAATATTCTGAAAATTTCAGTCTTCACATATTTGTTCTCACTTTTAACAAATCTTTATTATTTATTCCAATACCCTTCCGCTTCAGTAGATCTTCGCTTTGTGTTGTTACGTATGACAATGTAAAATGTCCGGCCTCCATCAGTCTGTACCTCGTGAATTGTGAGAGTGAGGAAATAAGAGGTATTCCCATACAACTGGAAAACAAAACTCACCGTAGAGTTGTATCTGTAGCAACTGTTGCAAGACATGTAAATGCTTGCTCTGATACTTTTATACCTTCGGTTTGTGCACGTATTCGTAGGATTTGGATAACTTCTTCACAAGAATACGGAAGAGTGCGTATAATCATAACACGATCGAGTAAATCTAGCGGGATTCCATGAGGAGAAATAATATCTTCAGTCCCCCTATATAAATCAGAATAAAAATACATTTGCATATAAGAATAGTCATATTGATGAACATTAGCAACGAAAACACCTACACTAATATGTCTGATAGAAAAGAAAAGAGCGGGCGAATGTGCGAATGAATATAAGTGTACTGTAACTTCTTAAAGTGCTCCCATATTAGATACCTGAACAGGAGAAATTTTCGAAATTATTTACCTATGGACATCGATATGATAACATATGTTATATCTGAGGTAAAACAGATGAACTAGTTTCGCACTAGAAACTTTGTCATTCTAGTTAAAAATAGAAATGCCACAGAATTAAAATTTCCAGTGTAAAACTAGCTCACCTATTTTACCTCACCGATATAACATACATAATAGTAACTTGCATCAAAATACAAAAAAAGATGTTACGTGATATGCAGTAAAACCATAATGTTAAGACAAAATTAGTTTGAAAGCAACTATGGTATAAATGACCTAATAATAGTAGGCTTTCATTCCTCTTCAATTGTGCCTACAGCATTCCGTTTCACGCAGACATGGTGTTTGTATCGCGGCATTCGTAAATACTACTGTAAGCAATGTTCGATTTTTGTATGCATGGTCAATATGAAGGAGGTATACTTAAGTATCAATATTTAAACACAAAGTATAGGAAACCTTCAAATATGAAGCCAGTACAGCAAAAACTGGACTAAGTAACTAACAAACTGGAATTGTGACTCAATGAATTACATAGCTGATTTTCAACTAACGGGTCACAGGAGGGGACCCTGATTAAACTACAGACGTTTGTGCAGCCATGTAGCATCACCTTCTTTCTCACAAAATAGGTGTTTTAACGCCTCATGTACAAATCTGTACGCTTCTGTTGAGTTACACAGTTAAACAATAAAAAAAAATATAGTGCAGTGAACTCATTCATTAATACTGTGATTATTACTAGATTAGGCAAACAGATAACAGTCTCGAGAAGCACGATGAAGATCAAAAAACCATGTCATGATATACTGCAGACTGCACGAGCACTTAAGGGATCGTGAAAACTTTCAGCTGAGAAAAAAAACATGCTAGGGTAAAAAAGTATGGAGGATGAACACGTTAATGAATCAACCTAAAGCAAGAAAATGTTGACAGATATGTTAATAACGAGTATGTTGCATCATTTTAAAAAGCAAATAACTGGAAGGATACAATACCACTGGTATTGTTCTGTATACATCCCAAGATTTGAATCCTACTCCACCTATTTCCATCTATGAGACCAGATCATAAACCTCAAAACAATAAGGGTTGCCCAATTAAACCAGCCTGTACTAGACTGAATTGGAACAAAAATTATAATATGCTAAGGGTTAGTGGAATAAGCGTTAACATAGGTCACTTCATTAACGCTAACAGTTGAATTAGCCTATTACTGACAAATTATCGATATAACTACAAAAAGTAGGCTGGTATTCATCACTTAGTATCACCAGCAGTGCAGTTTGATCACAAAAAACTGGATGAATAGCACACTATATCTCATGTGTGGTATCCGGTGAACAAGGATGTTGCCTGTTGCTGAACATAAGCATAGTGGCTGAGTCAATATTGTCATCACGTTATATCAAAGAGGACAATAATGACATTTAAAAGGATTTTATGCGAATAGGTGAATTACTATGTGAAGAAGAGAGATGTTAATGAGCACTGCCTCGGTCTAAACATCACTTAATCTAAAAATGAACTACTGGTTACAATAGATATATGATACAGAAAAAGCTGTCAATAAATGACAGAGTTCAAAAACAGACTGTAGGCATCCACTCTTTTCAATATATTTCCTTCTCCGCATAAATTAGATACACCAATGCAAAAAGCTGTATTAGTTTTCTGTGTTCAGTAGTCAGTTAGTCACTGAGCTAATAACTAGATACTCTTCATCTGTTATTCGAGAAATTTGTCCAACTTCGAAGTGTCCATTTTTGATCCCATCCCCATTGCTACTGTTACGATCCCAGGCAATAGATAACGATGCAACGCTCCGAAACGAAAGCAATTAACGAGAGAACAATGACTTCTCAACTCGATATTCAGCTGACACCATAAGACGATGGGAATGAAAGTTTATTCACTCCAACCGAATCATGATAAGTGAAAACTCAGCCGTTTATATATCCTTAGATGGCCTTGGTCAAAGAAAACAAAATAGCATTTTCAAAGTGCAAAATGGACCAATCAGCGTTTGGTATCCCAAACTGCGGTAAAATTAAGAAACATAACATGGCGCAAAAATAAAACTTAAACTTTACAATGATAATATAAACATATTACAAGTTAGTTATCTTGGGGATTGGCCATCCCTAACAGGACTGCCACTATTTCTCGAGTACGTGTCTGGACTCCGATCATGTGCTAGTATGGGCTCTCGTACGTTCGCGCGTTATTGGCGGCAGAAAACAGATAGCAGTGAAGCTAACCTGTGCCCGATTAGAAGATGAAGATGCCAAGTACGCAACTAGAGAGGAATTAGCTAAGCATTTATCTGGACGTGACAACAATGCTCATCCTGAGAAAACCTGGCATGATATTAAGTGTACTGTAAAAGCAGCGGCTGACAGTTGGTAACCAACACCCAAAGGTTAGCAAACGTCACCGAATTTCCGCAACGTCATCCGAAATTATTGATGCGAGAAGATTGACTCAAGCTGGCTCTGGTCGGGATGAAGAGCGAAAGCGACCTAAAAGTAAACTGACCAATAGCCTTTGCATTGATCGCAGGCAGTAGTGGGTGGTGAAAGCAAGAGAGGTGAAGAAGGCATCAGAGTTGGGCAAAGCCCAGCGACTATTCAGGCTTATTGAGCATGCCAGTAAGAAGACGATGATGAATAAAACCATCATCGAAAAGGATCGGACGCTGATGATCACCCAGAACGGACGGCTAAAAAGTTTGGCAGAACACTCTGAAGCACAGTTCAACTGACCCTCAGCATGGGCATCGGTTGCTCAACCTCCAGCCTGAACCCGAATGGGACGTAGATGTCGATCCTCCAACCCCCTTGAGAAAGCTGTGTCGACACTGAAACGATGGGAAGTAGCAGAATCTGACAATTTGCTACACGACGTTTTCAAGTATGAAGGTAGGAAACTGATAGTTAGAGTGACTGGGATACTAAGTAGTGTATTTTAATCAGAGGTAGTTACGTCAGAAAAGTGTACTTCACTGGTCATTTCAGTTCATATGAAAACAGAAAAATCTTTTTACAAAAACCATGCAGTAATTAGTCTGACCAATATTTTATCCAAGATTCTAGGCTCCATAGTTAGCCGACGCCCAACTGGAGTTCGAGAACAGCAAACTTGAGAGAAACAGGCAGGTTTTAGACCTGAAAGCGAGTGCGTCGATCATATTTTCAACCTCCGACAGGTTCTGGAACATAGACATACCAACCAATGACCAACGCTTGCCATATTTCACGACGTGGTGGCATTTGATTCTGTCAACCGTGAGGTGTTGTGGCAGTGTTTGACCAAGAGGTGAGTACCGAACAAGTAGATAACGCTAATCAAAGCTCTCTACTCAAACTCACGAAGACATCCAAGGGCTTATAGAGAGTTGTCGTGTGAACTGACGACAACTAGTGGCGTCCACTATGGATATCCACGGTCATCGTTCCTATTCAACCTTGTCACAGACGTATTAATGGACATAATGTCAAGTATGGTTGACTTTACAGAGATTGATCTACTCCCTGGAGGTCACCTGGTTGCCGTAGGGTATGCAAACAATGCTGTTAGGTTAAGACGCTGACTCAATGAAGGGTTTTCCGGACACATTGAGAAGAAATGTATGTTTGGCACGCGTTTCGCACCTATCAAATGTAAAATGATACTCCAGGACTGGTGTGCTGCAAGCAATCCGTTTGTTGAGGAGTGGAATGCTAGAATATGTCGACCATTCCACTTGCTTGGGGAGTTATATCAGTCCGAACAGCCTGTTTGCTGATGAAATGTCATCTCGGATACAGAAGACCCATTTGGTATTCGCCTATTTGCGTTATTTGTGGTACCAACCGGAGAGATATCTGACTACCTATCAAACGACGAGTATACTGCACAGAGGTTTGTTCTGTACTGTTACATGGCTGTGAAACATCGCTGTAAAAGGTAGAAGACACGAAGCGATTACAGGGTTTTGACAGCAGATGTCTTTGTAGTATTACTCGCGTTTAGTAAAAGCAGTGTGAGCAATGTTGAAGTTAGGAAAGTCGATTGATGAGGTTGCGAACCTTAGTCGACTGAAGTGACTTGAACACGAACGGCGTATGTCGAGCCGCCGCCTCCCTCGACGGATCATGCTAGGGGAAGTTGGATGAGGTTGGAAGAGGGTTTAGGGTGACCAAACTACGATGTGACACCAGTCCGTGAATTTCCTGACTGTTGGTATCAGTTGTGTGGGGAGATATAGACTACCTAGCTGGGGTCCACGAGACGAAAGTTATTACTGGTTAATAGCTCTTGGTGACACGGGTGAAAATCGGTCGCAGTCACGCAGATGTATTCACCCGCTGATATTTTCCAGGGCTGGAACATTTACACTAACCTTTATCTTCAGATTGCTCATTCTCTAACACTAGTTTATCTTTTCTGATATCACTTTCTCTATCCGCATGATCCTTGCACACCACTGTAAACTATGGTAACTTGAACAGACGCAACTCCATTCTAGTCTGTTTATTAGAAATGTTACACAGTGAAACAGTATCACTTACTGGACAACGTTTCGGACATAATTTATTGTCCATATTCATATTATGTAACTCCACAACTTCCAGATGTAGTTCTAATCTTTTCCCCTTGTTTGTGACAAGGGTAATAAAATTTTCCATGTGTCTGGACAGGTGCAAAATCATTTCTTTTTTGTATAGTAACACAGTGGAGGCTTTGGATTCTCAACCTTGTCACCATCACTACTATTAGTAGTACATATTGCTACTACTGTCCACACTTTATGTGGCCCTTGAAACATTTAGTCCTGCTTCAAAGGTATGGTTCGGATATGTAGATAAAACACTTATAGTACCGAAATCGGAACACATCAATAGGTTCTTGGCACATAAATTCAGTAGTAAATGCAATCTAATTTACGTGACCTGGAAAGTGGTGAAGGTGAGCTAGTAACGTTCGACTGCAACAGTAAATGAAAACAGTATGGAAGTTTAAGCACTAGAGTTTATGGAAAACCTTCCCATTCAAATAACTGCTTCGACTTCAGATCATCTCATCCAATTTCAGTTAAAGTAGGCGAAGTTAAATGCCTAAGTAATAAGGCAAAAAGGCTTCCCAGTAGACCAGAAAATCTACGACAAGAAATCAGATACACCAAGAATACCTTGAGTCTCAATAATTACCGACCTAAATTTATAAATAAATTCATAAGAAATCGAAAGGAAGATATTTGCAGTAGTACTGGTAGTAACACAGGTGTTATTTATTATAATTCTATTAATAATAGTAATGACGGTGACAGGGTTGAAAAAGAATTCAAAGCCTTCGGTGTGTTACTATACAGGGAACGCACCTCAGAAGCATTAAGAAGATTCTCAATATGGCTAGCATTAGAGTAGCATTTAAACCAGCAAGCTTTGTTGGTTAAAAGATCTTACTGATCCAATTAGCCAAAATAATTTGGTGTAACAAATCTCTTGCAATGCTTACGAGGTTAAATATGTGGGTCAAAGTAGTCGACAAGAATCAATTAGAATAACAGAGCACAAAAGCCTAGTTGAGTCAAGATCAGTAGATCCTAATAAGATAAGAAAATTAGAAAAAAGCTCGGTTATGGCTATGCACGCAATTACACAGTCTCACACAGTAGGGTGGGATAGAGCAACAGTATTAAAAACTAACTTATTTGAAGGGGGGGAATTGATATCGAAGCTTTGTTTATCCAATCAACACCAAATGTATGTAGTAGAAATAATTCTGCACCTGTTCCAGATACATGGAAAATTCTATTACCCTTGTCACAAACAAGGAGAGAAGATTAGAACTGTCTGAAAGTTGTGGAGATACCTGATGTGAATATGGGTAGCAAATTATATCCGAAACGTTATCCAGTAAGTGATGCTGCTTTACTGTATGACACTTCTAATAAACAGATCGAAATGGTATTACAACCTACCATAACACCCAATTTTCCCTTCTTTTTTATTGAATCGACGCAGTTATGTGACTTTGTCTATCTGTTTGACTCATACGCACGCGAATCCAGCCAAGTATAGCATAGATTTGTATTTGAATTGTGTATCAAACAGTAACGCATGAAAACATGAATATCAGTACCATATACAACACTGTATCTTGTGGAAGTCTTTGAAGTCGCTTGCAGTTATAGTAGTGATAAATAATGAAGGCAGCAAAAGCAGTTGTTCGTAATCTGGTGCAGGATAAAATTACAATTACGGAGATGTCCACAAAAATGTGAATTGAACTTATGTAAGAAAACTAAAAAATTATGGAATCGAACACCTAGGTAGGCCTTATCAACCGGATTATGTTAAGAGAGATACACATACTTGGAAGCATACACACACAAGCATATGGTCAATTAACATAGCTTTACAAAAGTACCTAAATTCTGAATGTCTATATAGCACACCTCCTTCCTTATACTACTAAAGAGAAATAGTCGTTACTAATTTAGAGCTGAAACAGGATTATTTGCATGAAGACGGATGTAGCGCACATTAAACCATCTTTGGAATTATTCTCAGAGGATAAAAGAAAATGAATACAACACGCAAAATACTTCACCTGCGAAACAGATATGCCGCATCAACCGTGCGCCATAGACCATGAAGACTATAAGACTTTTCACTAAGCCTAAACGCTTTACCATAAGATTTCAACAAGAGACAGAGATAAGACAGGCGAGTTAACTCACAGATTGACTGACCAAATCAGTGCAGAACTTCGCCAAAAAGTGCATCGGCTCAAACTGTTACACTTCACAGTAGTACACAAAGAACAAGTGGATACAAAAGAGTGAGTCAAAAGTTGAAAAAGTTGTGTCAGAGGATCATCATCAATATCAACATAGGACCAGGGCATTACTGCATAACGGTCCGAGTTGCCACACCTCATATCTGTATATCAAATAAAAAAGGGAATGAAGTGCGAGATGAAGATAAGAAAATTCAGCCAAAAGAAATGTAAAGTGCAAGAAGGAAGAAAGGAGGAATGAAAAAATGTTGAGAATCGGTATAGTGTTAAGATGAGAATGTGTGTATACATCTGCACCACTGACATCGATTCTCAGCCATATCACCTAAAGTCTCCAACCACTGGTTCCTCTTGTCCCGTGGACCCCAACCACCTAATCTGCATCGCCCCACATGGCTCAAACCAACTGTCAAAGACTTCATACACTAGTGCCATGTTTTAGTCTGGCCACCTCGGGCCTTTTTCCAGCCTGGACCCACCTCAGCCAACATTGTGTGACGAGGCAATCGGTGACTAGGCATACGTAGTACGTGTCCCAACCATCTCAGTCGATGAAGGTTCACAACCTCGTCAACTGACTTACCTCTTCTCCCTAAAACTCTACACCTAACTTCTGCATTACCCACATGGTGACACCACGGAATACGTCCTATACTACGAAGGCAACGGTGGTCAAATACCTGTAACCTTCTCATGTCTTCCACTTTCAATGGCCATGTTTCACAGCCATACAGTAGAACAGAGCGGACTGCTGTGCAGTACACGCGACCCTTACTAGACAAACGAATATCCCGGCGGCGCCACAAGTGGCGTAAGTTGGCGAAAGCCAGCCGAGCCCTTTGTATCTGTGCAGAGATCTCATCGACCACCGAGCTACCAGGGCTGATTCTACTTCCTAGGTAAGTGAAAAGGTCGACACATTCAACCACTAGACTTTCTACTATTAGCCGTAGCACCGTTGAAGGCTAATCATGGGGCAGAAACTTGCATTTGGGTGGTGAGAAACGCATCCCAAACATTCTCAAATCGCCACTCAAAGCGAGAGAATAAACAATTCGATGCTGATTACTGCGAACATTCGAGTTATAGCAGACATCAATATCTGAATACATCTGCGCCACGGCGACCGATTTTCAACCGTGTCACCAACAGTTCTCAACCACTAATCTCTTTCGTCTCGAGGAACCCAGCAAAGTAGTTTTCATATCCCAACATGGTTTAGATCAACAGTTAGGAACTTCATGGACTGATGCCAAATCCAGTTAACAATAAGAGCAATTCTGCATCGCAGTTTCAAGTACTAAGCTTAATAATCAGCAATACTTAGTTCTTACCTCAACAATTTTTCGATGTAACTTTTTGTCCCAAAAGTTTACGAAAATTCATTTCCTTATAAGCCCTACATCAAATACATTCTCTTCACTGTGATGATGCACACTAACTGATTCATTTTCAATTAGTTAGCAAGAATAACTACTGAGACTATCTATTCTTGTATCCACCACTATAAAGTGCAATCACAAATAAGTAGATGTTTGCTACAGCTTATTCTAAAAATGACTTAAGGGGGAATTCGCATGCAGATATGTGACAATTAACCTAATAGTTAATACAGGTTCACTAAATGTCAATTAATCACCTCGGCAAAATACATTTGTCATATTTGTAGAGGCGATTATGGGAATTTGTAGGATGAATATGGTTAAAATCGATTATCGTAAAATGTTCCATATTAATTATCTGGACTTAGAACACAAAGAGGACAAACTTCACTTGATTTGTTAAAATTTGTTTTAGATGAACAGATTAATATATTCCTTGTTTCAATGTTGGTTAAGTTACTAATCTGCCTTGTGCAGTAGGAAAGTTAGGTTGTCTTTTTGATATCCCACTGTCAACTTTAGTGTCATGAGTTTGAAGCCTATTCTAACCAACTCAGTTCGGGGAAGTAACTCAGTACTGTCCACGCAGCAGGTGTAACTCTCAATGAAGGGCACAAATGAATATTCCGTTGGTGAAGTTTATTTATTTCACTTATTTTCATATCACAACTAACCACCAAGACCGATACATCTTCAAACCAACTCAAAAACAACTGAACTCCCGGTAAATGACATGAGCATTTGTAAACTCAGTACACAAAATATTTTTTTAAACATAAAACCTACCTAATCGTACATTTTCCACGATTGGTAGCAAAGATGACGATGGGTGCAATTGTTGATTCCAATGCTCGATGTAGATAGGTGAAACACTCTATATCCAGCATATGTACCTCATCGATAAACAACACGCCAGGGACCAATTCAGCGATACCTTGATCAATGTATTTGTTTACAACCTTGTTGATCTCTTTTCTTAGTTTATCTGGTTGGCAAAGCGAACAAACAGGAAACTGAACAGTATAACTTAGGATATGATTTATAACACAGGAAGAAAAACAAATAAATTTCGTTTTGTAAGCTTCAGGATCAAGATTTGATCTGATAGAGTAAGGCATATGAGCATCTTTCAACCGATCCCTATAAAGAAATTTGATCAGAAGTGTCAAGCAACGAAAAACAAGATGAAAGCAGAAACAAGTCAACTTTTAAAGGAACTGAAACCTTTTATCGGAGATTCATTATGGTTCTCCCTTTATCCAAAATCATGCACTTCATCACGCTTCTATGGATTACCGAAAATTCATAAACCTGATGTCCCTCTGAGACCAATAGTAGATTTTACAAACTCTCCAATATATGCTCTATCTAAATATTTAGCATCATTATTAAAGCCTCTCCAACGCTCTATTATCAGCTCAATAAAAAACTCTTAAGAATTCAACTCAAGAATATTGGAATTATCTATTGCGGAGAATGAAACAATGGTAAATTATGATGTTGTTTCACTGTATACTAGTATTCCCATTGAAAAATGTTTAGACTTCATAAATGAATTACTAGAATATGATCACACGGCAGATAGATCTCCGTTGAACCCCAACCTCATCATGAAAGTACTCAACTTTTGTTTAAAGTCGACACTCTTCACGTTTAGAGGAAAACTATACAAGCAAACTAATGGAGTAGCTATGGGTTCTCCGGTGTCCCCTATCGTTGCAAACCTTTTCATGTCCCACACTGAATCAACCATCCTTTCGAACACCATCAAACCGCGTATTTGGCTCAGATACATAGATGATACTTTCGTGGTTTTAAAAAGATCTAGCCTCAGAACCTTTTCGAAGTTAATCAACACTTATTCTCCACATATCAAGCTCACATGTGAACATGAAAATGCAAGCAGGGAACTACCTTTTCTAGACTGTTTAGTTAGAAGGAATGAAAGTGGAAGTCTAAGTTTATCGATTTATCGTAAACCAACACAACCAAATTGATATCTTGATTTTAACCCAGCACATCCATTCAGTGCTAAACTTTCACTTGCTCGGAACTTATTCAAGAGAGCCAAGAAGCTCATCACGAATGAAGATGACAGGCAAACGGAAGTAAGTCAAATATATCAGATATATTATTTTCCAATAACTACCCGAGAAACGTCATTCAAAAGATCCAAAAACATGAACAATAGGACCCAAGAGAAAATCCAAATGATGACTCTTGGATTGGCACAATAGTTTTACCTTTCCGCCAAGGTACAACCGAAGAGTTACAAAGAATCTTAAGAAAGCACCGAGTCACGACCTTTTACAAGACAACCAACACTCTGAGGAATGCTCTAGTCCACGTAAAAGATAAAGTCCCTTTTACCTCCTCACAAAATTATGTCTACAAATTAGGCTGTGTCGACTGTGATGCTTATTATATTGGAGAATCATCCCTTGAGATCCTCATTAGGGCTAAAGAACATGTAAGCTACACAAAACGACCACCAAATAATCTTTTAGAACTAGAGAACCTACAAATCAAGTCGGCGATCGCTGTTCACGCCATATATCACAGTCACAAAATCGATATTGAAAACACTAAAATTATTCAAAAGGAATTTTCAAACTAATGCACTCAACAGAAAAGAAGGCCTAACTATCCAACCAACCTGGACAGTATTTCCAAAAACAAAAACATATCACACACAATGATCTGGTCAAAAGTACATGCATACAAACAAACCGAATGTCATCCATACTACTTATTTATTATTTTTTCACACCGTCACATACACATATTCATATCACCTTGAACTCCAGACTAATTAAACTCAGAAACAAAAACAAATTGTAAACGCGTCCTGACCAGCATAACGATGACATTCACCTTCATATGTTCATTATATATAGACAATGTGATCTGATTCGTCACCATTTACTATTTAAACTATTCGATAACTTGTACAGGTTTTATTCTCTGAAGAAGCGATTTCCGCGAAGTTGCGAAACTTCAGAAATTTATTTTCCTACTTCATTGGGATTTTACAAAATATATTTCATAAATTTCGTTGCCTACAAAAACTTGTCTGAAGTTTACTACTATGAACAATCATGCTTTAATCATCATTGTTTACTGTTCATAAAATAAAATTCCTAGACCAGGCCGTGGTACCAGTTTATGAATTCTCTGACTGGTCTCGGCTGTGTAGTAGATGTATAAACTGCTTGACTGGGGTCCTCGGGATGATAAGAATCAACGGTTGGAGACCATCGGTAACATGGGTGGAAATCGGTCACAATGGTGAAAACGTCTTAACTCTTCAACTTCTAAAGTAATAGAGAAACGAAAAAGTAACCAAAGCAATAACTGAGAATTCATTTAGATAACCATTTGATGAATTAAGTGCATAAATTGAATCAGTCCACTTAGATAATAATGGTGATCCTGATGACAGTGGAACCACAGTCTATTCGGGTTAGCTTAAAGAAAAGGAGACACTCCACAATTGGTCGGGAAGGGAATAGTGGTTTAAAATCGTATTAAAGGCTGTAAGACACTCAAAATCATAGATAAGGAATGCAGCGCGATCTTTTGGAACCTAAAGAGACAACAGAGTCCGACGCGTTTAAACCCAAAGATCATGATTCGAAACTGACTGGATCTGCAATACAACACCTGCAAGATTCTTTATGGACAGTGCACTTAAACGCTATTTAACTACGGAAATACGATGGAGATGAAGTCAACACTGGCCGCTTGTGCAGGTCATGTTGGAGACTCACGAAGGACGGGAAGACGACGGGAATATGCACAAGGTTAATGACAAGGATGTACGATTACGTCACTATTGGCCGCTTGATGACATGATTAACAGAAAGGAAACTGTGGGTGAACTGAAAGTTCAGAGAAAGAAAAACTGAAAATACTTCAAAATTAGGGAGAGATTTCAGTAGTAAACACACCCAAGGCCGGTTTTCATGAGTCAGATGTCTGTTTGAGCAGCTTAGTACTCTGCTAGACTATAGGCCCCCGTCTCAGGTATACAATACACACAGATGATGGTTAAGATTAAGGTAAGAAAGCAAGACCTGGTTTATGACTTAGTTACCCCTCGCCCAAATGTTTTATGGACGAACATGTTGGCAGTTAGGGATGTCATTTCGACAAACTGGTTTTGATATAAGTTAGAGCGCTGAGAAGGCTCAAAATAGGTTTCAGAATATATCTAAAGGTATAATCACTGTTCATTACTTGCTTAACTCCTTGAAGACCTCAGAGACCATCTTCGACTAACAAGCGAACTCAAAAGCTATTAAGGCAGAGGAAGTATCTTTGGAATTTGTTCACAGCTACAGGGGGTGAGACAACTGAGAAACACTTGTACGACTATCACCACCAGATGTCACACGCCTTACAAAACCTACTAGTGGGCGATTAAAAATGCTGTCCTAAACGGTTGTTCTCCCACAATAAGGCAAGAGCTAGAATGATGGGATCTCTGTCCTGCAAGCATATGAAGATGCAAAAGAAGTGAGAGAATCTGACAACTAGGGCGAAAGTCTATACATTTGCGGTAGGTTCTTTTGGATAATGAGGAGGGATATGATGTACTGCTACCACCGGGGCTCCTTCGCTGGAACCAGTTTAAGTCATGGAGATAGTTTTCTAACTCTCGAAAACCCGAAGCCTGAAAAGCTACCGGACTCAAACGGATTACGGATTGCTGTTACTGTTAGCGTATACTGTTGGACAACTCAGGGGACTTTCCAACGTCTTTGTACGAAAAATAGCCTTACCGAGATAGAAAGGATGACAAAGTGATTTTGTATTTAAAGGCAATAAACAACTAACGGCTCACTACCGACCAATCAACCTTACTATGATTCTTTTTAGGGTAACGAAAACGTGAGATAAGCCGTAAAATCTTTCGGTTTACGCAGCTGATTTGCAACCAGTGGATCATGAGTTCCAAACCTGTTTTATCTACTAAGGTACAGGGTAGCCAAGTAGTACCATAAGCCCTCACACAATGCATTTATCACCTGCTGCAATAACGTGCAAGTAGTTGCCGAGTGTATTATGATCAAAGGACCCGGAAAAATGTAGTAGAAAAAAAGCAGCATGTCCTCCAAGGTCGGCACTCTTGTATTACAAATCTACTAGTGAGAGATAACTGGGCGAAGGACTATAAACTTGGGGATGTGGAGTTTAATGACTTTAGGGAAGCTTCTGACAAAGCATCCTACGCAGGAATGCTTTTTAAATTCAGTACTGATAATTTGGTTTAGGCATAAATTAGGTGATCCCTACATAGAAGGTAGAATAAAGGTGAATGTCTCAGTGGAAATCTGTAACTAGTGGTGTGCCTCAGAGTATTGGTTGAGAACCTCTCTCCCTCTTGACGTTAAGGAATTGCTAAGGTTGCTTACGTCATAATCATTGCTACTTACCAATGATCTAGAGACGGCCGCACTTCGAGCTAATTTTGGTGAACTAAAAAATTAGGTCTGAAAATCTGCTCCTGTAAAAGCGATCTGATGCACACTTGGCAAATTACTATGGTCTCCAGAATAGGGATGGACTGCTCTTATTTCATGTTTTCGAACAAATAAACTTAGGAGGTATCGTAAGCTACGATTTGGAACTGGTAAGTTGCAATGTTTCTGCAGCTAAAACTTTAAGCATGCTTTGGTCTCTTTTCAGAACATTCAAATTCTGTGATACCTTCGAGATTCTATACCCTTTGTATGTAACGGCTCCCTCGAAGTACTTTATTTAGACAATTCAATGCTTCATAAAAAAGCCAATACCCTGGGACAGGTCTAACAGATAAGTACGAAGTTACTCATATATCTCATCCACTTTCCTTATGAGAGATTAGTAAGACTAAATATTTTTTCTAGAGTAAACCGTAGGCACTGGTAAGGTGTGATTCCAATTTAGGTTTATATTGTATGTAGCACACTGATATCAAGTGAATAATTTAATAAGGAATCTAACCGCTTTCTCTTATCGTAGGACGAAAATTAATCGAATACTTGAAGTTTGTACCTTGAATAATCCCTAACCCATAACCATTTAACAGGCCACTAGAAAAAACCCCAAAGCCGAGGTCAAATAGTCTTCGAGTGGAGTACCAGTCTTCTTACGACGTTTTCAACGACCGCAACTCGTTATTGGAACAAGCGGTTGTAGTTCATATGGTGAATGCATTCAATGGAAACTGATTTTTACAGACATAACTGTGAAAAGTAACAGTCTGGTTGGTCGACTATGTCTAACACTGAAGGTTGTGTAATACACAACTACCAAATGATACTAAAAAGAAGGCAGTGACCAGAAAATGTATCCCAAACCTAGCCTTTGACTTCTAAGTGTAGTCCTACAGAGCATGGCAGGTTATCTAACCGGGGCAAAGAGAACTATAGGAATTTATGACAGACGAAAATAAAAGACATGGTCTAAAGTCTAACACAAATGAGACGTACTTACTGTCTTCCACAGAAATACTAATATGTTATAAATATGCGTATAATAGCTTATTCAATTACGTTACTGTTGTTTGTTTCATTTTTCTTGATTTCGTGTCTTCTGTTTCAAGGTGTGGCACTCTGAACTGGTCCACTTTAATGTCTAATCCCGCGTTAAATGTTTACGACACACTAGAACTAGTAGATCACAAGTACCAAATTCTTTTGAGTCTTAGCAGTCACTCAATATCTTAAAACTAGACAGTTTCAAGATATTTCGACCAGCAATATGTTATGTTGTGGAAACCGTAGCTGCTCACTTGTATGAAAGCAGATGACAAACCAGCTCATAACTCATGATGATTAAATGACCATTATCGTAAGCTGAAGGCATACTTTTAAGAACTTCAAACCTGCATGCAGCTAGTTGAGTGATAGAAAAACATTAACGGAAACAGTACATCAGTGTGAAGTCCTACCTGTGATTTCTGTCTTCTTGGGTTTCATGAGCTGACCCATCATGGAGACAATATCTTGTCCTCCTTGTGGTCTGGCATTAGCGACATCCAAATCATGCAGTGTGACATCCTGCACAACGTCCTTTTTCTTATGAACCTCACCCTTTGGGAGAGGAACATACTCGTCTGCCTCTAAGTCATATTCCGCTGTGTAGACATCACATCTTCCTTGTCGTTTGACTGCACCTGAGTTCGCCTCAATGTAAATCACATCCCCAACCTCAACATGCTCCTTTTGAAGACTTTCGTAAATACATGGGTCCAACTTTAACTGCTTTACACCTTTGGCAGTGCGCAAACTGATAATTACGTGACTAATCGTTTTTCCGAAACCTGCAAACAAATGAAATAATGTAAGGTGAAACTCACCCCCAGTAGGGCTTTCCGTTTCTATAGGTGTTAACTCTGTTACTTCCCCTTCGTACACTTCTTTGATTTCCTTTATGCGCAAGCCTATTATCCCTGATTAACAAGTGAGTGATTGACATGCCTATTGCTCGCCTAAAGTTCTCCATTAAAACTTCTGTCTTTTTGATTTCAGAAGAGTATACCTCACTCCCAACCATTGGGCAAAAAGGGACTTTACCACCGAGATCCTGAGCAATAGCTAGAGCTATTGCAGTCTGCTCAGATTTGAAAAAGAAAAGAAACAATCAAAGAATGTTAAAGCGATTCTTATTAGACGCGTCAATTTGAATAACCGTAGTAACCAAAGTAGATATTTTTTGATTAGCACTAACCTTGCCTGTACCTGGAGGTCCTGCCATCAGAACAGCTCGTCCAGCCATTTTCTTTGATCGGATCATCTCAACTACAATACCGGCCGCCTAAAACAGTAAATAAACGTGAGATCAATTACCTCACGAGCACACTCCTGACCAACTAGACCACAAGCATTTGATAAGGCAGTGCCACTTTCATCTAAGCCAAGTCCCTTTACATGCGTGTGAGCAGCTATTCTTTGAGTTTTCGATGTACTCCGAACCTCTTCAATCTTCATTATCAAGTATAACTGTGGAGTCCTGTGAGAGTCAAAACGACAGGCGCCAGACACAAACACCTCAGTTAGTAGGTAGTTTAAACAACCAATAGAGGTAATTTACAGACGACCTACAAATAATGCTGTTAGGTTTTGCACCTGAACCCAATTTCTTATCGATTCGTTTTATAATCCTATTAAAATGGGAAAGACTTTTAATCAGTCATGAAACTATGCTGGGAATGTATATCATTTCAAATTCCGGAAATAATCACAGGAAGAAAACAAGACCATAGGAATAAGCAAGGCGCATTTTCACCTATGCATAGGGATTTCAACACTTGGAAAATTCTGCACTTCACAACTAGGATGTAAGAAACCAGTGCATCTCGAATCAGTGAGCCAGATAATGATGAACCTGAGTGTTTGCCAACGCTGGCTTTGGAAATATAGCACTACACACTCCTCCGCATCTACAGTGTACCAATATGGTAATAGACATACAAACATGTCGTCATCAACACCTTATGTGACGATACTAAACTCATATACATAGGTTTCTTAGGCGGCTGAACCTAAATCCAATCCAATATCCATTACTGTTGGTGCGAGAGTAAAAAAACTGATAGTTTTTGGTCCCTCGCATCTGGTTTTTAGGGCTTGGTTCGAATTATTTGGTTCACCCCTGCAGTGGACGACGAAATCCCCTCTGCTTTCCTGTTCTCAGCTTCGGTGAGGTGGATGTTTTGTGCGTTAGTAAGTTGCAATTTATAGAGTGCTTAGGGAGCTATGAGTTTTTGGGAAGGTCAGGGGACTTTCGTAACTCCTGTCTGTGTTTAAATGCTTAGGTGCTTAAATCCACCGGACAAAATGTTCTCTTCTGGGAGAAAACATGAAAGGAATGGCAGGTTGACGAAAATTCCAAAAACCGAACAGCATACAGAAATGTCGGGAAATATTCCAAAAGGGGGATATCTCATTCACTTGAAGAAACATCGCATTCAGCATCTTGGGAATTAATTCTCTGTCCATAGAAAATTCCGCTGAAAAGTGCATACATGAGCTTCAAGCATCACAGGACTTCAGTACACACAAAAAAGAATGCTGTGGAAACAAATGCTCGGTTCTCTATGCATAAATGCTTCGGGTATTTCCGTTCATATGGATATGGCGTTTAATTTCTCATTCCTGCCCTTTTGGCAGCAATTAATTCCCGAAAAACAGGCCAGCATTAATGCTAACCTTATTAGTATAACGGACTGACAATGTTGAGGGCACACAGACAGGCACGAATGTCATTTGTCGTGTTCTCACTTCGTGTTGCTCAGTTGCGATTCTCTTGCCAGTAAATCGAGATGCTCTGATTTTGTGTAACGGTATTCGAAACACTATTTCTACTTGACTTCCCTAGTGTGCTCCTTCTTGATCTTACACTTTTATTGGATACTCCCGGCACCAAAATGCGTCTAGGGCCAAAATAAAGGCCAACCTGAATTAACTGAACCAACTTCTAGATTGTCTCCGGATGCATAAAGTGTTTTAAGTTTGTCTTAAGGAGTACGTATCGGAACAGGCTTCGATGCCATTTCGCGCTTCTCTTGTGCTGGTCAACGTGCCCATTCTTAGAGTCCCTAGCTCGGCCATAATAGCCACATAGCTTGGATACGGCTTTTCTCTAAAAATCACTTTAATCTTCATATCATTTAAATACATTGTTCTTTTCAGCTTCTTCCTAAATAACAGCCCTTTCGATTTCTGCTTTGTTATCCGTTCTTACATGTTGCGCAAGGCAATGATGAAGCAGGTGCAGGAGCACATTGAAGTTGTTAAATTTGGTTAAGTTTTATGCAATGACAGCACACCAGTCTCCTACACACTAACGCTTGCTCTACAAGTGCAAAGAATTAGGGATAGCCTTCCGTGTCTATCAAGATCATGCAAAGGCGATTGTTAAACCAACGTTTCCATGCGAGTTTGCACTTGTGAGTTCCTGTTTCCATGTCGATAACTTTTATTCATCCGTATAATTAACCTTCGCATCCATGTGCAGCCGGACTCCAAAACTCAAATGTAATAAGTCGACAATGCTACCAATCCTGCTCTTGCCATTCTGGCCAAACCATATGGAACACAGTTTCTGTACACCCAAGCTAACATTTTAGAACCAGACATCACAGATCCTGGCCCTTAATTCCTTACTATCGAGTGATCAGTATTACGGGAACAAAAGAGACATGTCACTGTGTAAATGTTTTACTCAGAAGCAATAAATCCCTATGCACCTCTCGAGGCAGCACTTATTAAAAAGAGCCATCTAACTGATCCCCAACGCCTAGATGAATAGCTCCTTAATATGCAACTACGGGACAGTTCATCTAATCACTTGAGAAATGCGGGAAGTTACTGACCAGTGAAAGGTCGGCGATGAACCTTCCGATGAACCGCTTCTGTGAAAATCACCACGGTGGGTGCGAGCTGTAATGGTGACGATCCAATGGATTGCGACAACGACCTAACAGCCAAGGCCGACGAAAGATGGGATATCTTCACTGGGCGTGCCTGCAATTTACATTCTTCTGTCAAAAGAGCGATTGTCTGAGCTCAGAAATAAGAACGAAGAGAATTTCTCAGATACTGGAATCAGTACGCCACCCAACAACATCGTTATACGTTACAATGGAGCAGTTCACGTGGCACTCTGAAGGCTGAGTTTCACTTGGCGGTAAGCAGCGGGCGGTCTTGGCTTCACAACACCCAAAGCTAGGACACGAGAAATCGCCAAAAGCGCCGAATTTTAGGCAGGTTGCACGAAATCGGGATACTGCTTAGCTGGCACGCGTTAACAGCCACCGTAACCGGTAAAAAAAACCCTTTTTTGTCATGGGCGTGAACAGCAAAGTTCGCTACCTAATCGGCACTGATGCAGAAGCAGACGTACTCCTCATAACCACGAGCAAGCGCCTTAACGGCCCATTCTTCAGTCCGTAGCTGGCACATTTGAAACTAACCACTAGTTGAGAAAAAGCAAATGTATCTTCCCTTCGACCTTAAAGAACCAGATCCCTGAGTTTTTATTCAACCTGGTATTCCCATCACTGGGTGTGTTTCGATTTTGTGCTTGTAATATACTCAAAAATATTGACCACTCATTTTGTTTGACACCATTCAGTCTGCTTGTACAACCATATTTAACCTCCTATCTCGATCAGTGTTGCCACTGTACTTTGTCTTGGCCAGAAACCGTAGTAGCCATCAAAATTAAAGGTTTGCAACCAAGTTTTGTACACATATTTTGTTGTAAAGAACAATTTTCGTAGGGTTAACTGACTGTTTGAATATATATCAGCTGTTTAGCAACCAATCGTTTTGGATTTGCTCAGTTTCGCTTTGGGTTTGTGAGCCTTCGAAATTTGCATCTTCGTCAAGTGCTACTCGGTGGACTTGCCGTGACATAAGTTCTCCAGTTAGACTCTGCTCTTTTGAATGACGATTTCACTCATTCCCCCTTGGGAACAAGTTTGAACATCTTGAGTATTCTGTTCCTCCCAATTTGTGTTCGAATCGCAGAAATTGAGCTGCCAAAATAGTTTATAGTGCTGGATCCAGACGTAAGAGGAAAGCCCCACCTGAGGATAATAATTTTGAATTCTCTGATACTTTGCGCAATGAAGAGAAAGACTAAGTGAGTGTCTATGGTGTTAAAACGCATGGTTCATATAGGGATGCCTAGTTATGTTAATTACCAGGGGCCCAAACAGTTGTCGAAGGAAGAAGGGTTTAAAAGAGAATTAGGATAAAACTTTGTATCGCCTTGTGATTCATTAGGAGTTGCGAATAGAACAGGCAGTCATTCTAGGGCCAAGAAAGCAGTTGGATTACCTGAACCCGGTGATAAACAATATAAACTTACATCAGAGTTGAGCTGGTGAACAACACCTGTTTACCAAGGATAGAGCTGATGTACTTTGGTGGACAGCGCAGTCAATATCAGCTGTGAGTCAGTTTGGAAATACGATAGAGACTCAACTTACTGACAAAGGCCAGATGTTGTCCTATCTCTTACACTTCTACAGAGGGTAGGCGAGGGCAGAGATAAAAGCATGTATTTCGCTGCCTGCCGACTTCGGATATGATACAGCCAGAGAAATCCTTTGTGATTTGTTCAGACAAGAGAGTAAGATTGCTCGATCACTCATAAATGACTTGGTTATAAATGGGCAGTCGGTGAAAAATACTGCTGGGGCCGTGAGTGAGTCCTCTGTGAAGCTTGGGAATGTACAAGTCACGTTATTCCAGACCGGCTACGATGACGATTTAAATTCTCCGGGCAACTTGGAGGCTGTTGTCTGTCGGTTACCCATAGATTTACAGAGTAGATGTGCTAACGTAGTAGACAGGATTTCGGTCACTAGGAGGGAACCCGAATTTGAGGACTTGGTCTGCTTCGTTGGGGAGAGAGCTAGGGTAGCTCGGTAGAGGTTGATGAGACGCAACTTGGAAAGTGATTGAGTGGAGAGTTCTGGCTTACAGTTCAGCGGCAGGTGGCACTGAGATTCGGTGGGAGGTACCGATCACTCGATGGGTGATAGAATCACATGTACGATGAGTTGCATCTACTGTCACGTCTCCCACAGTCTACGTGAATGTCCGAGGCCACTGAAAATGCCGACTGATGAAAGATTTGTAGTCACACAACTTGATGTCTACTGCAGTTGTTTAAAGAGGGCCACATAGCTGCGTTTTGCAGTTCCGTACTTAAATGTAAGTTTGACGGCTGCAAAGTGAATCATAACTCTTTGTTGCACGTAACAAACAATGAAGCCAAGGTAGCTGGATCGATAACCCACTTGACAAAGGAAATTATATCTCCTAAAGTGAATCGTTCCGGTGAGACTGATGGGTCCAAAAGTGAGCGTACAGGCTCTTGTCTTACTGGATAACGGATTGGGCACATCACTGAAATTGGAAAACATTGCCAAGATCTTGGCCTTATCGGCAAGATGCCTTCCCTGAGTGTGGCCCCGGTGGCTGGGACTTCCCAGCGCAGGTGCTTGGAAGTGGGTGTGGAACTCTACTCACCGAATGGAC